TATCTAGAGCATAGGTAATCTGCTTGAATCTTAACGAACGTTAATTTTGATTTGGGATGGAGTTGTGTTCTGTCTGACATCTGACAAAATGAGCATTCTAGATTGGTGTTACTAAATAAATCACTATCTGTAGTTTTTTAGATTACTACGTAGTCACAAGCAAAGTAACTTGTTAACTAACCACAGAGGCTCAATTGACAGTGATACATGAGTGAAACTGCAGTTATAGTGAGTAACTTTGCCTACAACTTCATCTTTGCCAGCGAAGTTTCTTTTTATCTCTAATGACCGGTTGATGTAATTAGATCAATTTAAGTAAAATATTGACACAGTAATACGGATCGATCTCCTGCAGATCATAACTCCTAAGCTGAATTAAGGTAATCACAGTGGAAAAAGTACGCGGATCGAATATGTATCTGAAACAAATTTAGCTCATCAAACCCATCAACTATAAAACATCCAGTATTAGTGAGATCACTATTGTTTCAACACAGTGAGAACTATCACTTCTCACAAGCGTGTGGAATAATGCTCTGTGAACTTTTAAATAAAATCTCTGAGTACAATACTGTATGGCACAGATTATAATCTCAGAAGGGACACCAATCTATCCAAGGTTGCACATACGCCTTGCTGACTAGTGCCAAGAAGCATGAAACCTAACTAAGTCCAAGACTTCCCACCGATTGCCTTCAACCAAATGTTACACATCAAAGTGCACTGCAACGGTGACCCTCCTAGATTAATGGCCGTATAGCAAAATGATCTGTAGACTTCAGTCAGCACTGGAAACTAGACAACATGAAATTCGTTGCTATCTAGTGAACCAATCAATGTATTTTTAAATAAGTTCAGGAAGCAGTATACAGCCTTTTACAAAATTCTTCTTCTTCTGACTTCCCAAACAATAACAAAGGAGGTTGGAAAAAGATCTTTTACTTTAAAATCTTATGGTATATTTGGTTAGAAGTAAGAAATATTCTCCAACACGAGGATAAGTTTCTTACCGGCTAATTGAGTTAATCAAAATATCAGGCAAACTGAAGACAATTTCCTATCTATTAGATTGATTTATTACTGTATGTGCATTTAAAGGTAGCATCACTGAAGTATAAATCTGCCAACTTTTATTCTGCACAAAATATACTGGTAGAATGAGCGCAAACACCTATCACTGTCAGTATGCATAGAAATAGATTTGAACACCATTACGCTATTAATATAATTTATTTTATATCATACCATCGTAGATTGAACCGAATTGATCGGTCTCTATTGGCATATGGGCTCCTGTGCAGATGCCTCGATATTACCTGTACTCTGATGGTAGTAATGATGGATAGTGGCTAGCGGTGGAATACAAGGTGTGCATTTCGTCCTATTTAGGACTCGTCAGCTGGATGTACCTGCTTCCCCGTGAGTGATACTGTCCCCATCATTACTATCATTAGAGTACAAGTAATATCGAGGCATCCGCACAGGATTCCACATGCCAATAGAGACCGATCAATTCGGTCAAATCAATGGCAGTATAATACATGCAATAACATTAAAACTGTACTCGTCACACAAGAAATGGCTATCGTGGCTTGGTGGTGTAGTGGATAACGCTCTGGCGTCTGAAGTGATCCCTCGCGGGTCCGAATCCTGGTGGGAATAACATCACTCACCGGAAAGCAAGTACATCCAGCCGAAGAGGACGAAGTGTGCATCCTGAATTCCAGTGTTAACCGTTATCCATCATTACCATTACGCTATATTAATATTTCTTTTCAAATGGCTTGTCAACAGAATTACTGCCACAGTTCAAGTGAACCTTTTCACAAGTGACATCCAGACCTGTAGTATGCAAACATGATTATACTACTATGATACAACAAATATATCAGTTGTGTCAAGCTTATTTATCTGTCTATTAACGTTCATAAATGCATTATTTACTTTCATTTAATCATGAATCACAATTTTTTTGAAATTTGCAGGAAATGTCTTGTACTTACTATTAGTGATAAATCCTTTGAAACAGTAGAAAAGTTGAGTATTTGTCAATCTGAATCTAGGCATAGAGAATAATACTAGTCTTCTTACCAGTCTGATCCACCTCAGACATTGTCACACAGCTTTTTTCTGAAAGCAGTTTTTCAGATGTACTAAACATGTAGACTGTGATCTGCATTCTTTTGGCATAAATTGAAGATTTTCGGTCAATAATACACATCGATAAAGTCACTCTCATTCATTATTTTCATAATATTACAACAATATTGAGATGTTTGTTACCAATTAGAGTGAATAGTTAACAATATATCTTGATCAGTCTAAAACATGCTTTGATAGTTCGAATAAGTTCTATTTATCTTATGTCATTAGCTTTAACAAATTTAGCGGTGTTTCCTTACACTTAGACTGCCAGAAAACATGATAGTCACTCTATAAATATAAATACCCTGAGCATATATTAGGTTAATACCTATCAGTGTATCACGACCGCCTGAACAAACTTATAAAGGGATTATACTATTTAAAATCCTTAGAATCTAAGGCACAGTCAGTCATACAGAGAATACGCATTTACTATCTTGCGTATTCTATTACTATTTATTTATAGCACAGACGACATAGATAGTTTGGAAGATGTTTATCGCTCCTACTTACACTTCACTTATTTACCTTTTAATAGTCATGAACACAGTTAACCCTTAGTAAACTGTAGACCAATTGTTAGGACGGACATCAGTTTCAGTAATTTCGTTTAAAGATTTGAATGAATATTTCGACAAAAGATCTTACAGACAGATGATTTTGAATCCAAACCAGACACATTTAGGGGAGGTAGGATGCTTTTATAAATTGCTCTTTCATTACAGTACCTAAAGGAACCGTTAAAATTAATATTCAGTCAGCATCTTGAGTCATATTCCAATGCATTTCAAGAGTCTTTCACATACTTTTAGAAATGTTGATTTTCTAGTTACCTATTGAGACCAGCTTAGTGACTGCAGGCTACAGAGACAGTCAAGAGCAGATCGGACTTTTTTTCATTCATACAAGCAATGTTTTTATTGTGCACATACATTTGGTCCCCATTGAGACTCGAACAACATACCCATCACTCCAAACGCCACGGCGTTATCCACTAGGCCACGGGGGCACGATAGCCATCTCCTGTATTATTTATTACTATTTATTGATATACTTGCAATTCTCTGTTGCTATTTTACTGGATCGGATTTTTCGACCTCTGTTGGCATATGAGCTCCTATGCGAATGCCCGATGTTGCCTGAATGTTAATTATGGTAATATACTTGGTTGAGGCTAGCAAAGGAATTCAGGACGTCAGTTTCAGTATGAAATTGTATATTTCATGTTGTATGGCTACTGTGTGTTACGATTCCTATTCTCGTCGGTTGTAAATATCAGACAAAAATGTCACAGGTGACACAATAGTCATTCGGTAAATTTATAAGTACAATGAAATATGTTAAGCCGATATGGGGCTGAATAGTACTCAAGAATTTTTTCCTTGATTTACAGGAATACAGTGGAAATGAATGGTGGTAATGATGGTGATAACAATAATGAATTAAATCAATCCAGACTGCGTGTTATTTTTGATGCACAAATAATGAAGTTGGATGTAGTGTTGACGGTAAATGCTTGAGTCACTCTTTCAGCTTACTAATTAGTAAATGCCAAGATGCACCTAACTGTACTCCTTCTCATCTGTTCAAAAACTGTCTGCATTCGCCTATAAATCTAGGGCTTCGGCTGCCAATCTTTAGTTCCGTTTTTGGTCCCATTTCTATGGAGCGTGGCGCAACTGCGGATTTGTTTTCTAGTTTCTTAACCTCTGCTGAGGTTTTTGAGATCTAAACTCCTTCACTCTCACATTTACCTGCATAACTGTCTCCCCTTACAACTGTGTTGAATGAAATAATCTTTTTCAAAATGTTACTTATTTCACAGTCTAAAATATACTGAGAATGATCTACTTTTTGTGATACGCATCAGTTCAACGTTCGCAAAAAACCAATGGTCAATTAACTGGCTTAAAAGAAAAGTGGCCATCGATGTTCCCTATGAATAATGACATCATCACTGCTAAAAGCTTTCTCGTCAGGTTTTTCACTTACATGATAAGTGTTCACACTAATGATGTAGAAGGCTTTCAGAGTCACCTGAAAAACACTGATTACAATTATATAAAGGACAGCAAAAATACTATGTAGTAAAATTGCACGAATGAATTATCTATTTAAAAATTAAACAAGCTTAAATACCCATAATCAAGATGAAAATTTTGAAAAGCTTTTCAGTGTATTACATCGATAGTCAACCTTTAAATCTCGAAACATTCCTGACAAAAAAGTCGTGAGTTTGATCCCTAGCCGGGTCCCGGTTGCGTTCTGCTGAGGAGTCCCGTACTAGGGCGAAACAGCTGTCCAGTCTTCCCAGGTTTTCAATGGTTCTCCAACTGATTTTAGTCCGTTATAAATACAACCTCAAAATTTAGATTCTCATTCACCTCAAAATGCATAGTCCTCATTAGTGAAATGATTCCAAATGGATATCACGAAGTTCTAATGAGAAGCCGTTATCCGTGGGGTCAGCTACTGTAAACGGAAGCGAATTTCAACTGTAGGCATTGGGTGGTAGTCACGCTATATCGTGAACCACTGAACTCCGAACAAGTGGCTAAGTGGTGAACGCGTTCGCCGTGAAACCTTAATATTCTGAGTTCGATCCTTAGCTGGATCCTTGGTGTGTACTGCTGAACACTTCCATAATAGTACGAAACAGCTAGCCAATGCTTCCTGGTTTCCAACAGTTCTTCAACTGATATCAGTTCGTGATGAACACTATCTCAAAACTCTATAAATATAGCTATCTATACTGTTATTGATTTTAGAGATTATGCGTGTTTCGAGGTCGTCTTCAGAGTGGTACAACGACACAACAAGATTCTTCTGTCGTCACAAAACAATTCGTTAATAATAGAACGTATAGATTCTTTTTTGATGTAACATTCTGGTAGCGTAAAAATTAGCAAGATTATAAAACTTGACATAAATAAATGTTTTCGATTACATTAGTAGAAACAATCTGTATTGTCTGAACTTTTCAATAGTTCATTATGCTTACGAGCTTCATAGAAGAATTGTGGTGTTTTGATACTATACCTTGATGTAGAGAGAAATAACAAAATCGAAAGTTTGTACACATTTAGCTATTGTCACAACAGAGCAAATCAAAGAAACATATTCTTATTGGAAATCAATATTATGAGTTAAATAAAGAAATAAATAAAAGTAACCAATGCAGTTTAGTCTGTCTTTGTTGTCGAGATCATTTTTAATTTGCAATTCTTATAAATATTTCAGTTTTATAGATTTTATTACTCAACAACTAAATTGATACACTGCTTAACGTAACCAATATGCTCGACTTACATGTTAATCGAAAGCCTAAACATATCATAAAACATGATGTGTTAAAAGCTGTGTTGTAGTCAGTGATGCAACAACTAAAGCAGTAACGTCAGACTGGTCTACTTCATCGATCATTCAAGTCTGTAAGAAGGGAGAACAAAATCTTCTTGTAACAACCGTATGAGAATTAGGTTGACTAATATCGTATCCTAGATTCTACGGTCAATAATTATCCGACGCCTGACTGGAGCACAAAAGCAGAAAAACTTGACGAAACCAGATAGGTTTCAGATCTAGTCGAGGGTTGATCGATCAGATTTTCACACACCGACAGGTTATGGAACACAAGCATACCTACCAGTAGCCGACAATTGTTAACTTTCTTGACCCGAAGACTGCATTTGACTCAGTGGATCGTATGTTGCTGTCATAATGTCCAATTTTGAAGAGAGTATCCAGGATGTACATAACACTAATCAAAGCTTCCTACTTAAATTCACACAGCTGTCTAAGCGCTTATGGAGAGTTTCTGTCAGAATTGACGTCATTTAGTGGTATCCATGAAGGATGTCCACCATCACCGCTCCCATTCAACTTTGTCATAGACCTACCGATAGACATAACTCTACGTATATTTGCCTTCACAGGGATCGATCCACTCCTTGGAGGCCATCTTGCTGACCCGGAGTATGTAGGCGGTATTCTCTTGCTACGGGACAAAATAAAAGAGCTTCTGTACGCGTTAAGAACTAATCTGAGTATGCTTGACTAGCATGCCCTCCACACCTATCAAATCTAAGATGATGTTCCAGGTGGAGGGGTGAAATGTGTCGACTACTTCACTTATTTCTGGACCTCCATAAGCTCGAACGGACTGGTTGCTAACAAAATCTCAACTAGGATACTGAAGGCTGGTTTACACTTGCCAACTTGTGTCATCTGTGCCACCAACTCACGAGATATCCGACTATCTATCAAAGGACGAGTATACTACACTGTAGTTCGTCCTGTCCTGCTATACGCTTGTGAGACATGGCCATTAAAAGTAGAAGATATGAAGCGATTACAGAATTTTGATTCCAAATGTCTTCGTAGCATTGCTCGCGTTTGGTGGAATCACTGTATGAGCAGTATTGGGGTCAGGCGAAGAGTACTAGTCAAGACAGGCAACTCGATTGATGAGGTTGTGAACGTTAGTCGACTGAGATGGCTTGGTCATGTGTTGGGGATGCTGAACCACTGACTACCTCAACGTGCTATGCTAGGGTAAGTTGTACTAGATTGGAAGAGGGTTGAGAGTGACCATACCGTGACCTGGTACTAGTCGATGAAGTCCCTGACTGTTGGTGTGAATAGTGTTGAGAGATGTAGACTACTTAGTTGGGGCTGCTGAGATAATTAGGAATCAGTGGTTGACATGGTGACATGGCTGAAACTTGTTCACAGTAGTGAATATGTATTCATTACTTGACAACTTCTAAAGCTTGAATATTTGCACTCACCTTTTCTTCGTTTATTACTGTTAATTGTGTCAACTTGAACCGATGCACTTTCGTGCGACGCTCTACCGTTGTTTCTGTGCAACACTGAGTGAATAACAGGATTTGTTACTCACCGATACCATAACTTACAAATAATTTGTAAAGGTCAATGGTTTCACTTGACTTAGTAAATCTTGGTATGGTGGAACCTGATCTGAAATTCTTACTCACTGACTGACTGTTGATAAGGCAAAAATTCTGTTTCCCAGTCAGATCCGCCTTAGATAACCGACTTCTAGATAAATATGTGATTATGACTTTCACTCAGTTGACATTAGAGATAGAATAATATGTACAACATATATTTATATATCTATTCACATGAGCATTTGGAAAATTTTTATACTCTTCAGAATAACTGGGAAGATGCAAACGCTCTATGCGAATCCATTTAGACAATTATCCATCAAAAAGTATGCTTGGTGAATAAATAATTCGCTAGAGGACTGATTAGAAAAAGTAAATTGGAGGGCAACATAGTCGTTGTCTTTATTGAGGTAGGTCTGTTTAATAATGGAAAACACACTAGTCTTCATAGTTTAGGAACCAATAACTTCTATGATCCACACTGATATCATTCCTAGAAATCTTGATCACCATACAAACTACATTTCAGTATCACTTCAAGCTTATCAGAAAAATGTATCAACCTGCTTGAGATCACTAAAGTTTGATGCTTAAGAGACTGGATTTACTCAGTGCAAGTTTTCTTCCATTGTATTTTGTCATATAGTCACCGTATGTACAGAAAGTTTTTTATTCTCTACTTTAGCCACTAAGGTTTTTTCATGCATATTAAAACAAACTTGATGAAAGCTTCAATTGTTCGTCTTTTGTTGCTAATATTCATCATAAAGAGTTAAGATAGAAAATCTATTCATGCTTACATAGATGTTCCAAGGTAAATTTTTAGATAATGTTGTTCGATTCCTAGTAGGAACAATATCACTCACGGGGGGAGACAGGTACATCCTGCTGACAAGTCCCAAATAGGACGAGACGTGTATCCTGGATTCCCCTGCTGGCCACTATTCATCATTAGTGTCTAGGTAAGCTTTTAAGAGACAGAAACATGATGACAAGGAATGTGGAATTTGACTTTGAAGTAAATAAATATATATTCATGAATAACTAGAACCAAGATCAATAATACTAACCACGACATATTTTAAAAGACCAAGGCATTCTTAGAAGCGACTATGTTCTAGTAACTTATTTTCGAATTCCTGATTCTAGAGTCCGGTCACTGTTGAAGAATTCATTTTTCCAATAAGGGTACGTTTGGAATGAACTTAGTTTTGATCAAATACTTTTTAAGTATCTCTACAGCCAACTTCACTCGTGCTCCTAAATTTTTATTGATAGTCAAACATACTCTGTTTCTAAAAATAAATAAATTGGCAGTCCTTATGAAAATATGATTTGCTTCTTTTATTGTGCGGGTTGGAATTTCACTAGTGTTTACTATTATATTCCAGTTTGCTGATTATATAGGTAACTTCTTATCTTTTGCTGGTTTCATTTGAATAAATATTTGATAGATCGTCTTGTAGGCATAAGGAGATATAAACATCGCCTTATTCAATTACTTAAGCCAGAAAGCTTTTGGTTACTTATGAGTAGTTAAAGCTATGAAACAAAATTTTTAAAAGTTGTACCTTGGCTTTCTTTAGGTGGTGAGTAAACCTTGCATTTGAGAATTAAGATGCAACTTAAGTTAGTCAGTATAAGTGACATGAGTAAATATCATGCGAATTTTCACAAAAACCGATGCAAAATTAACTGGAAATAAGTTCTGTTAATGCGATAAGTTTATAACTTGAGGTAGAATGCGGAATTTCATCATGTGTGCTATCCTAGCCAAGAACAGCATAAATTGGTCGCAAAGGAGAGAAATAAGCATGAAGATTTCTACGCCAAAATAATTTGATGCACATAGTGGTCAGTATTTTATCACACCAATTAACAGTTGGATGATAATACATTGATGATTCTTTCCGAAATGATGCCGTAATCCGTAGGAATAACCAGTTATAACCTAGAAAGTGATATAAGATTGAAAATAACGATCCTACTGTATCACCAATCAGTTGTATTCCGAACGATTTAGTTATTAGATCTTGTTTCGATGGAAACGTGATTAGTTGGTTTATACAGAGATTTAAAAGTGCTGGGTTAGATCCTAAGAGTAACCCACCCACAAGTTTAACTGAGTTACAAACTAGAACGATAGACGTTTCGAGACTTTTTAAACAGACAGAATCGTACAAAGTCTGTTGGCTCAGGATATAGTAGTTGACAGTACTGTAGAAATAAAAGATCAATACAGAAAAATGTCAAAATAGACAATTGGAAACATACCAGTAGATGAAAGACAATTAACCGTCAAATGATACAGTATTCACGATATTAAGGAAGACAAAAAGCGAGGATATTTTCGCTACACTAATAGACTATGCAATACCTCGTCTAGGGTTTCAAACAAGTGATATTCAAGTTTTTTGTGGAGGCTAAGCAGGAACTTTATTTACATTGATTGGTCACTGGAGAGCAACCAATTTTATGTTGTCTAGTCCTAAGTGCTGATTGAATTCTTTCGGTGATTTTTCAAAGGGGCCACCAAATTAGGAGACTCATCATCACGATGTACTAGTAGAGATGTTAGTTGGTTTGAAGTAATCGGGAGGAAAGTCTGAACCTACTTTTCGTGCTGCTGGCACTCGTCAGCAGGGTATATCTACAGTGGTAGTGTGCTTGACGACAGCAATAGATGACGCGGCTTTGAATCTCAGATTGATCATCAATATATACACACTGCTGATAGCGTTAACAAGTGCAAAACTTATGTACAGGGCTTTCTACTGATTTCTTTCATCCAACTAACTGAAACTTTATTTTCTCTACGCCACTTAAGTTGATAATAAATGATCTCATCAATCGATATGAAGTCTTTTTCTGTCTACCTTAAACTATTTTTATTCATATATTTCCTTGATCAGCATCCGACCTCAGGGTAGATGACGGTTCACTATGCGTAGAGCATATCTGAGCTGTTACAGCTAATAATAATTCACAGCTTTAGTAACCAGCTTCTCATTCTTTTTCAAATAATTCATTAAACAGTATTTTCTAGGTGAAGTGGAGGATTCGAACAGGTGACCCGTTAGCTTAAACTTCAGTAAAGAAAAGAGTAGGCCCATTTACACTATCAAAAATGCATTTTGCTCTGGTAATTAGCTGAATGAAAATTTGTAAGATATGAATAATTTCTTCTAGATACTCTCTCCAAGGCAACAAACTCAAAAATTATTGAAAAATGGTATAATGAATGAGGAATTCTAGCTAGCTTTATAACATACACCTCTAACAATATTAATTACAGCGCAAACTTTAAAGTTTACTAACCTTGGTGTAATACTTGGCCTTCAGTGTTCTCACTGCATTACATATATATGTCAAAGTCATTGAGGTTAGGTGTGAGTTCTGAACTTAAATGACTGCACCTACTGGAATGATTACATGATGCGTTTTGCATTCTTAGTTACAGTCAGTAGTAATTTCTCACATAAATTACGATAGGATCGTAGTAGAAAAGGCTTCGAGGTGGTTATGTCAAGAAAAGATGCTGAATTCAGGAATGCTTAAATATTCAGTTGAAGTTGTGTAGCGAACTGTATGCCTAAACCACCGATCCATTCATAATGTCAGTCAATACAACACCTTACTTATTTATGAAAAAACAACCTTCATGGATTCAAAATACGTACCATCGTGGTACAGGTTTTCTAATCCTCTCTAGCATATCCAACTTTTCTGCTTGCAATAACATTTTCTCCTCTAATTTTAAACGATGCAAACGCGCTTCTACAAGGTTTTGATGTAATGGAGAAATTAATATGCTTTTACAATTCACCAACCGGTTGTCAGTGACTTCCAACGATTCTGTAAAACAAAACAAAAGATAATTTTGGTATTTTGTAAACTGTATACAACTGATATTGTGAAAAAATAGCCCTTCTTCAGATGAACGGTTCAATGTTTGCATCTAAACAAAATTTGGAGTAAAATGAAGAACTTAAAGTATGAATTTCAGACAAACATTTAGACACTGAAGACAGAGTAAACGAAATAAGTAGCGCTAGGGTGATTTTAAAATTATGGTCATCTGTTTTGAAAAGACCTTCGACAGCGTCAACCAAGAAGTAATTTGGCAGCTGCTTCAACACTACGGTTTTAGTGCCAAAAACCTTCATCTACCTCATTCAACAGCAGCTATATGCTATATGATACCACATGCCAAGTGATTCACAATGGAAAGCTTAGTGATGCATTTGAAGTGAAGACAGGAGTAAAAAAAGGCTGTCTACTATCACCGATCATCTTCCTGATTGTGGTCGACTTGACTGGATCATGCAACATACTGCGAGGAGCGAGAGGATGGGCATACGCTGTTTGACCGATGAAAACACACTCGAAGATTTGGATTTCACCCATGATGATTTATGTACAAACTCGAAGATCTGCAGGCAGAAACCAACAAGTTGACAGGAGAGGTGAAGCAGCGAAGACAGGACTTCAAGTGAACGTAGAGAAGACAGATCTGGTGAAGATAACCAGCAAACAACAAGCTCCAATTACCATTAACGGGAGAAACCTAAAAGAAGTAGTCTCTTTCACCTACCCAAGCAACATCGTTTTAACTACAGGCGGCACAGATGAGGACGTCGAAGACAGGATCGGAAAGACAGCAAGACAGGCTTTCACTAATCTGAAATCAGTGTGGAGATCGACTCCACTCCACTCAGAAAAAAGAACAAGATCCGGATTTTCAACACTATAGTCAGTTCGGTTCTTCTGTGCGATGGTTCAGAGACTTGGCGCGTTATGAAAAGTATTTCCAATAAACTACAGACGACATTCATCAACAGCTGCCACCTACGGTCACTCAATACTGAAGATCAGATGAGAAGGCTAGAAAGAATAAGTAATAAGGAACTCTGGGAGCAAACCAATCAAGGATCAATCGTCCAACAATTATGCAGAAGAAAGTGGAGATCGAATGGATCGGACATACAGTGAGAATACGATTTGGAGACATTACGTTCCAGGCCAGGCCCCCTAAGTGGAATCCGAATGGGAAACGACCAGCTGGGCGTCTGAGGCAAGGGTGACATGGAGGAGATGGTGGGAGGAAGAAATTAAAGCTTCTGGGTGGTCGTGGAAAGACTGCAGAGAACGGAGTGGAATGGCAATCTGCTACGGAAGCCCTATGTTCCACTACGAACCCAAAAGACTAATAATAATAATGATAATAGTAATAATCCAGTTACGAACAACACTTGTTGTGCGAGGACTGGTGTTAGTATCTAACCACCTCAAACGCTATATAACTGGTTGAAATTCAAATCTCTGAAGATCAATAATCAGTCTTTAAACGGGATCATCGATATCTGGTCATTCTTTCTTCATATACGTGGTTAACAGTACTTTTCAGAATTAATCTAGTTGCGAGATTACAACCAATTCCACATACCTTGCATTGTCTTTAAGGTCTTGATATGTAGTAGCTGCTGGGACATTTTATTCCGAAATCTTGAAGAGGTGTTTCGTACATTGAATTATATATTGAATCGTCTTTCACTTGTTACATTGATCTTGGCGACTAGCGTAGGAGTACAAGATGCACGTTTCATCTTACTTGGGGTTCGTCAGCTGGATGTACCTGCACCCCAGTCAGTGACGTTTCCCCCTTAAGGTTCGAACCCAGCACCCTTCGCCTCAAACGCCAGAGAGTTATCTACTAAGCCACTGGAGAACGATAGTCACCTCTTGTGTGATGGCTATCAGTTGTTGTTATGATACTTGTAATTTCCCGTTGCTATACAGGCCCTAATTGCTCAACTTCCATTGGCAGATGGGCTCCAACGTGGACGTTTGGATACTGCCGAAGGGTACTGGGTTCCAGCCTCAAGGGGAATAACGCCACTCATTGGGATCCGGGTAAATTGGGCTGATGAGTCACAAATAGCACGAAATCCGCACCCTGAATTCGTCTGTTAGTCATTAAGGTCAGTATAACATCACGAATATCCGGCAGTATCAAGACATCCGCATAGGAGCCCATTTGTTAACAGAGATCGAGCAATTCAGTCTTGTGTAGCAGCGGAAAATTACATGTATAATAACAACTTTTACTTGTGTTTACTTTACCTTGAATGGCGGAGTACCCATGGCCCTCCACTGTGGCTGAATGGTCCACCATAGTGACTCCCCAACATAAACAAGCTTCACGCAGTACGATAAAGGGAAGCGGGTGTTTGTGCTGCTGTCTAGGAAAACCGGAGATTCGATGTGTGCCAATGAATACTGAATACACAACGACAGTGCGCTCTCACGTGGCATCGCGGGATATCAATCAACTCACCGTCAGAGTTTACTTAGTGGCAAACGCGGGTGACGAAATTCATATGCCCAGATTAGCGGCACGGATCTCCAAAGCTCGGGCAGCCTAGGTGACCATCAGGATTCCGCCCAGGTAGCTGGGAATGAAGTGACCGAAAGGTAAGGAAATCCAGCTTCCTAACTGCAGTGGTCATTGTTGTTGAAGCAGTCTTAAGACAAGGGTGGTTAGCCTTGCAAAGATGGGCGCTATTTGGTCCGGAAAGTCAGATGTCGTTCGCTCCAGTCTTGGCCTCAAGGGTAGACTTGGAGCAGCCTCTGTTCGCGAAATTCTAGTGAGAGGGGGACAATCTTCCGAGGAGGTGAGCTGTATCTCTTCAGCAAGATGTGGAAACTAATTCAGACGTATCCTAAGCACACCTTTCCACGCGGAGGCGAGCACGATTAAACGATCCCATTACCTGGCGAATGTGGATGCATTAATCTTGACATTTGGGGTGGTTTTGGAATTACACTGATCGAATTTGAGGAAGCGTTAACAGATGGGTCTGGTAGGAGTATTCCTTTTCATTTGAATGTGTTGCTACGATTTTTCCTGCTTGGTGAGGGGGCTGGTTCCCCAGGTTCTTGGATAATGACGTCCAAGAAGACGATGTCAGGCCTAGAATATAGCCAAAAAATGAAGTAAAACTTTCTTTTATCTAGCTGCCAGAACATTATATTCCGAAATCTTGAGAAGAGGTATTTCGTATATTGAGTAATAATTTAAACTGTTTTGTTTCGCTTACATCAGAAAACTTTTACTTGTGTTTACTATAAATGACTTTTTGGTAGTGTCATACGCAGCTAAATCATCCATCTCAGAGAAGATAAAGTAAACCCATAACCTCACACTATACCATCTTAGATTTTAATGACTAATATTTTCGGTTGATGCGCTCGATCAACGTATCTAAAACAAGCTAGTAAACGTGATTTTTTATCATCCCTGCATACAAGTCTTCATACTTTAGTATTATCTGATCGGACTGCTTTAATCAAGCCTGGGCATCCTTTTCTACGTATTTCCTCATAATAATCTATCTACAGGCTAGATGGAAACCTATCAGCACATAACTGTTATAAAGTGAATGGAATGCATCCTTACATGATCATGCGCAGTAACACTTTCTTTGAAGTCGAGAAGAAAAATTCAACATGCAACCAAATAGAATGGTACTTCAAGCAATTATGAAGACTAGAAATATAATTTCTTTTGCTACTGAGATTGTTTGGAATTGATATATCTCACAAACAAAAACTATATATCTATATCATATTAGGCAGATCAAAGGACGCAACAACCAACATGGGATGAACCAAATGTCATTTCAAAAACCACCTGCGATAAACACTATATTGAAAGAAAGATCACCCTCTTCGTCTTCATCTCTTTGACCACTAGTCAATAAATGAACGTTATGATACCTCTATCCATGTGAACATTTAAGGATAAGAATTTGATTTCTACAATGTAAATACCTTGCACAGAGGAAACAAAGTGAATACCAGAGAATTCTTAGAAGCTTGATACTTAGGTCAACAGGTGTATCGATATTGATCAAATCTACCAACCAATAATAAAAGTGAAAAACAACTAAAGTCAGAGGTCAAGCAGAGAAACAACTGATAGGGAAATCTGTGTGGTAAATGACACAATAATCAAAGCGAACTACCAATCACATACGACTTCGTTAAGACAGGTTATCAAATCATTCACAGAGAAATTCTAACAGCTCACTTTATATTGGAGTTAATATTGATGATGTTGTCTAAAAAGACAATAAGGGCTTCAGAATGAAAATGTCCACCTCAGAGAAAGCAACACCACCAAAATCTTTCACTTTGTCAACTAGAAAATGCAAAAATTGACTATTTCTCATTAAAAAAAATCTGTATAGTTTCTTGAAAAATCATTACATCTTAAAATTTTTAAAGAAGCATAAACTCTACTCACAACAAAGTATCTCAAGACTAATTGTGTATCACTGGAAAGTATTACCTACAAACCTCTAGCTACAAAGACACTATTCCTTAGGGGTTGTGGCTTATTGGTTTAAGGAGATGACTATCAACCAGTGGGTCATAGTTACCAGCTCCGCCCCACCTACCAAGGTTCGGGTAGTCAAGTAGTATCCCTAGACCGTATACAATACGTCTAACTCATTTCATACTACATGAATTTGCACAAGATTGTTGAGTGCATTTCAACTTCGATTGGATATAAAACATCTCTCAACACTATAGAATTTCTAGTACTGCATAGCTACAAAGTATTGCATATGATATATTATGTAATCAATCCAATAGCTGTGTAGTTGATAGAGGAAATATATGTAATCTACAGATAACTTTGATAAGGTATTGTTGACAGTACAGCAGTCCTATTTCCATTTCCGGCCGGGTAATGTTGTATGTTCCTACTAAGTAGTCTGAATAATTTTCATCTAAAAAAAGACATTGCCGATTCTGTTTAGTTTTTTTTACCATCCTATCAGTAATTTTGTAGAAATCAGTCAGAATGATTGAAAAAGAGTGAATTGTTCAGTAATAGAACTAACAAGTGTTAAAGGTTGACTACAGCAGTCTGTTACTAGTCACTTTATGAAGAAGACTGTTTCACGATTTTATTCAAAACTTATCAAAACTACAATACAATCGTCATATATACAAACGACACCAGTGGAATATTAGTAAATGAAATAAAAAGTATAGAAAGGTAGGACATAAAAAAATAACGTAGAACCTCGCACATAAGTCCATCGGTTCAGGTTGACACAATTAACAGTAATAAACGAAGAAAACGAGTGATATCAAGATAGATAAAGTTATGTGACAGAATAAACAATTTGAATATAACGGTTAGTACAAATATTCAAGCTTTAGAAGTTGTCAAGTAATGAATACATATTCACTACTGTGAACAAGTTTCAGCCATGTCACCATGTCAACCACTGATTCCTAATTATCTCAGCAGCCCCAACTAAGTAGTCTACATCTCTCAACACTATTCACACCAACAGTCAGGGACTTCATCGACTAGTACCAGGTCACGGTATGGTCACTCTCAACCCTCTTCCAATCTAGTACAACTTACCCTAGCATAGCACGTTGAGGTAGTCAGTGGTTCAGCATCCCCAACACATGACCAAGCCATCTCAGTCGACTAACGTTCACAACCTCATCAATCGAGTTGCCTGTCTTGACTAGTACTCTTCGCCTGACCCCAATACTGCTCATACAGTGATTCCACCAAACGCGAGCAATGCTACGAAGACATTTGGAATCAAAATTCTGTAATCGCTTCATATCTTCTACTTTTAATGGCCATGTCTCACAAGCGTATAGCAGGACAGGACGAACTACAGTGTAGTATACTCGTCCTTTGATAGATAGTCGGATATCTCGTGAGTTGGTGGCACAGATGACACAAGTTGGCAAGTGTAAACCAGCCTTCAGTATCCTAGTTGAGATTTTGTTAGCAACCAGTCCGTTCGAGCTTATGGAGGTCCAGAAATAAGTGAAGTAGTCGACACATTTCACCCCTCCACCTGGAACATCATCTTAGATTTGATAGGTGTGGAGGGCATGCTAGTCAAGCATACTCAGATTAGTTCTTAACGCGTACAGAAGCTCTTTTATTTTGTCCCGTAGCAAGAGAATACCGCCTACATACTCCGGGTCAGCAAGATGGCCTCCAAGGAGTGGATCGATCCCTGTGAAGGCAAATATACGTAGAGTTATGTCTATCGGTAGGTCTATGACAAAGTTGAATGGGAGCGGTGACGGTGGACATCCTTCACGGATACCGGCAATTATTATGATTGTTTGTTTTCACACAGTAATGCAATCAACTCGAAAAAAATAGTTATCCTTGAATAACAAAGAATCAACTTACTGAACCAAAATACTTTGTTTTCAGATAATTAGGATTGCTGAAGCATATATGTTACAATCTGTTGTATTTGAATTACATCAGAACTATTTTCAACTAGAACTAGAAGTTCAACTGTTTAACTTGTAACGTTTTCGTTTGTGGCGGTCATATTAGAGTAAGCATCTCCAATGTTCACTGACTCGTTGAGATATTCTTCATCGACTTCTGTGCTACTGTCTGCCTCATTGTTAATTTAAAGCTGATAATTAATGTATGTCTTATAACGTGTAACTACTCCCCGTCCAGTTTGTAAGTAGGACATTGTCAGAACATTGTGAGGGGGAGTTAGTGACTATTTCATATCCTTTTACCAGCTTTCACCATCTCACCTTAATTAAGCATTTTCTCAATAGACCATTCAGTATCACTTCACAAACTATACCAGTAAGTATAAGAGTTTAGAAGAATATCTCCACAAAACCTTACTAAAGTAATCATGAGAAGGCAAGTAGTTGAACAAAAGTTATTTTGCATTTCACTCCTTCCTGCAGTTGAACAGTTGATCAGGCTCATTTAGAGGTGGGATGTGACGACTGTTGTTCAGGTCATCAAATGGTAGTCAATTCATGTTGACTTATAGAGTGCAGCTGTGATTGAGTAACGTACAGATCATTTGGTGATTATAAAGCGCTTCAAGGGAGGTTCAACTAGTAAAACCTAATAGTTAACGAACAAGAGGCAGCTCTTGTGATTCATATGAAAGAGTAGAAAAAGACTTAGAATTCGAAGTGGAAAAGTCCTAAATTTTCATTTTTATAAATATACATCGTAGGTCCGCCTAACTAAAAAGTCACAAACGGAATGAGTCATGCATTTTGCGTTTCAATGCTTACCCCCACCAAGTAAGTTACATAAGAATCAAACTAATGGCAATTTTGAGGCAACCATACAAAGTTTCTTATCAATTGAAGAAAGTCAACCGATTCGGGGCTTGATGGAGAGAAATGTACAAAATCACGAGCCATGTATAAGGATTACTTCGAAAATACAATTATTTTCAGGTAAAAAATAGGATTTTCTGAAGTATAACATTGGACACATTAGAAGTACTGAATCTGGATTTTTGTATGCCTGTGAAAATTGTTTCTTGCATATTACAAATACTACCGATTGACACTTCACATTAATACAATGATTTGAGTAGAAATGTGAGTACTTTGGGAGTGCGTTTTGCACTTACCAAATACAAGATGATGGTTCAGGACTAGTCTGCAACTACTCTCAGTTTAAAGATAGGGATTGAAGTGGTGGAAAACGTCGATCAGTTTACTAACTTGGGAGTCGTATCAGTTCAAATAGTCTGGTTGCTAACAAAATTTCAGCTCGGATACAGAAAACTTGTTTGGCGTCTACCAACTTGCGTTATCACTGGCGTCAACTAGTGACATACTTAGCTAACTGTTAAAGGATTAGTATACTGCACTGTGCTCCATTCTGTCCTGTTATATGGTTGCGGAATACTGCCGTTAAAAGTAGAAGATATGATAGGGTTACAGGCTTTTGATCGTAGGTATCTTCGTAACATTGTTCGCGTCTGGTGGAATTGCTATGTTAGCAAAATCGAGGTTAGGTGTCTTTTAAAGCTTGAATATTTAAACCAACCTAAATTTTCAAAATTCCCTCTCCTCCCATACGCCTCTGTCTCCTTTCATATCAGTTTTTTCTGTCCATTTGTTCTTTGTATACTACTGTGAAGTGTAACAACTTGTTGAACCAAAGCACTTATGTGTGATGTTCTCCGTTAATCTGTCTGTCTATCTGTTTATACAATAGTTACTGCAGCTACGAAATGTAGTTAATAATGGTGGTAAGCTTACAATTACACAGTAAGCATACGTGATTTGGTTAACTGTCTTCAAGTGACTTCAGTTAAAAGATTTTATTTAAATGTATTCTTATGACATAGAATGGTTTAGATTTTTCACTGCTGATGTAATTAAAACTAGATTAGTAACAAACATGAAGAATATTTTTTTCCTGCATAAATAATTTGTACTTTTCTGAAAAAATCATTTTTCACTGACTTTTTTTATACATCACGCCTTATAAGAGTAATAAATTATTGAGAAAATTGGTATTCCTCAAGAACTGACATCATTTGGGGAAAAATTTCAAACCAGCGGGCACTGGACAGCTGTTTCGTTCTAAGATGGGACTCCTCAGCAGTATGCACCCATTGTGTGATGGTCAGGCTATGCCATTTACTGACAGAAGTTTGAAATATGGACCATTGGATTCCAACCCAATGGCCCAGTGGTAATGTGCGGGTCATGAAACCTGAAGGCCCTGGGTTCGATTCCTGGCGGGATATGGTCATTGGTGTGTGCTGCTGAGGAGTCTCATGCTAGGACGAAACAGATATCCAGTGCTATCAGGTTTACAATGTCCCTCCAGTTGATATCAGTCCATGATGAATACCAACTTGAAATTAATAAATCCCAACAAACCCACAAATTGTATTGTGAAAGTTTCAGTTTCCCTTTACGAGACAAAGTGCACAACTCAAGTATTTCAGAAACCATTAACTAACCAAAAGATAGATGAGAGAAGTTTATGATGAATGGCATATTCAACTTACTGAAATCGTTCACCAGCTGATTCACTGATTCTCTTAAATATCCTAAGGTTGTTGGTGGACTACCTTTCGGATTATAGCGTCTGACTGATGTTGTTCTTTGTGATTGGTAAATTTTACCTCTCTCATCAATTAAACAGTCAAAATCTTCTTTATCAACAGCCTGACGATAGACAGTTGTTGCCAATGGTGGTGCTTCCTTAGCCAGTACACATTGCCACGGATTAAAGTTATCTCCAGGTCGTCGAGTTAAGCCAAAAGCAGGTGGTGAAAATGTATACACTCGTTTATTGGCCAGCAAACCCATCAAACGAATATTCTGCTAAATTTATGGGCAAAGACATAATATAAAGCCGCAGTTAACCAATTCTCAGTTGGTGGAAGTCATAGATGTAGTACCAAACGTTTATCGTGCACAATCCTCCGGTCACCCATTACTACAATTACAGTAATATTACTTTAGTCGGTTTTTCAGGATATTTGGCATTACTTTGCAGTATTCTGCAGGCCTATAAGGTGCCACATAGCTATGACCTTTACTAGTGCAAAACGATGTAAAGTTTCGCATAAAACTCCTTGCGCCGTCTCCAACGAGCCTTCTCAAATTTTCGATTTCCCATAGATTCTCATTTAACCTTCCCCAGTTTAACACTTCAGTAGTTAAATAGCCGGTCCTAAGTCCGGATAAAGAGGGAAGGTTGGGCATAGGGCTAGAAACCCTACCTCATAAAACCAATCCAATCGCCAAACAAAATTCAAAACACAAACAAAATATAAAAATAAAAAAATTATCCCTCAACAGAATCGGAGAGACTAAATAGTGTCTGTTGGTGAAAGCATTCGGGAAGCCAATTGACCGATGTGTCTTCTCTCCCTCGATGAAAGCAAAAGTAAGCATAGGGTCATGGAATGTCCGAACAATGTTTGAAAATAGCAAGGTTGTCCAGATTGCCAAAGAGATGAGAAAGTATAGCATTGGAGTGCATGGAATCTGCAGATGGAATGGAAGTGGACTCTCCAAACTGTCAACTGGAAAGGAGTCAATAATCTACTCCGATATTGTCACCCAGATGACAACCATGAGCACACTGAGTTTCAGAGTGGCTATCATGATGTCCACAAGAGCAGTGAAGGCTATCATACAATGGAGACCAAACTCCTCCAGGATCAGGATCATCACAGCATGATTCAACTCAAAAGGAAGGAAAGCCACAGTCTGACGATGCTACGCCACGCACCTACAAATAATGCAGATCAAGAGAAGAAGGAGGAATTCTATAGACAACTGCGATCAGTACTAATGGACAAGACCCCACCCTAGTCGGCGACGGCGACGGCGACATCAGAATTCTATGGGTGGAGTGACATGAATACCAAACTGGGGCGGACAACACAGGAAGAGAACCAATCACGAGTCGAGAAGGACTCGGTGAAATGATGATTGAGAATGAAGAACTGTTTGCAGACTTCTGCGCATTCAATGATTTGGTGTATACAAACACAAGGATATTCACAAAGCGACATGGATTCGATTTCACCGAATGCACACATTACACTAAAACCAGGTCGACTCAACCTAAATGTGGAGAAAGTGGAGACACAGCCTACTTGACACTAGGTCAAAAAGGGGAGCAGATGTAGGTTCACACCACTCACTATCTAGTGCAAGGAACCTAACTTCAAAATCAAGTTGAAAGCCTGCATAGAAGTTGGTGATGGACCACAGTTCAAGTTCAACACCCAGCACAGAAACTGAAAAAGGAAACTACAAAGGACATCTTCACGCGGTCAGTCATCAGGACAAAATGGGAAATGTTGAGCGATATCCCTGAAGAAAACATGCATGGAAGAACACTGGGACTCTGTGAAGTGACGTGGAAGAAAATCTGCATAACCGTGTTAGGAGGGAGGAAGAAGAAGAAACAAGACAAGGAATGGATCTCGACGGACACATAGAAGTCGATTGAGGAAGGAGAGGAAGATGGTGGAGCAGAAGATGAACCAGTGCAGTGCAGTGCAGTGCAGTGCAGTGCAGTGCATGGATGAACAACGAGAAGAGGAACTGAACACAACCTATAAAACACTACACTGGAAAAGAAGTGAAGAAGAGTGCGCGGAAGGACAAAAGACACTTCTACGACACATTGTCAAATGAAGCAGAACAGGCTGCAGGTAGGAGAGAAACAGACCTCACAACACTATATCAACTCAGATGAAACCAATGATAGATAGTGAAGCCAACCTAGTTAGCAAAGAGGAGAAACAAACAAACGATGGGTCGACCACTTCAAAAACTCTTGAATCAACCACCACCACCAGCACCACCTACAACACATCCAGAAATACCACCAGCAGCCCAGCCACAGAACTATCAGTGAACAAAACCCCTCCAACAGAAGCCGAAGTGGAATCCTGAATGCCATAAAGCTGCTGAAACTTGAGAAAGCAGCCGGACCAGATGGATTTCCTCCACAACCACTGAAAACAGACACAGAGACAACAGTGGACATGCTCACACTACTATTGCAGACGGCTTGGTATGGAATGATGGGAAGGTACCTGCCGATTGGAAGAAGGACTACCTTGTCAAACTGCAAAAGAAGGATGACTTCAGTCTGCAGGAACAAGAAATGGTGAGGAATCATGCTCCACACCTGCCCACCGCAAGCGAAATATTAAGCCGCATCATCCTGAAGACACTAAACAATGTGCTGCATTCAAAATCACGACCCGAATAGGCTGGCTGGCTGACTGGCTGGCTGGCTGGCTGGCTGGCTGGCTGGCTGGCTGGCTGGCTGGCTGGCTGGCTGGCTGGCTGGCTGGCTGGCTGGCTTCAGGAAGTAAAAATCATGTGTGGATCAAATTGCAACGCTACGCTACGCATCATCATAGAACTTAGAATAGAATAGCAGTCAACTCAAATCTACCTCAACTTCATCGACTTTGAATAGGCCTTCGACAGTGTCGACCGAGTAGTAATTTGGCAGGTAGCTGCTTCAACACCACGGTTTTAGTGGCTTAAACCATCATCAACCTCACTCAACAGCTAAATGCTATATCATGTTACATGCCAAGTGATTCACAATGGAAAGCTCAGTGATGCCTTTGAAGTGAAGACAGGAAGGAAGTTGTCTCTTTCACCTACCTATCCACCTAGGCAGCATCGTTTCAACTACAGAGGGCGGCGGCACAGATGAGAATATCAAATGTAGGATTGGAAAGGCAGCAAGACAGGCTTTCATCAATCTGAAATCAGTGTGGAGATCTACTGCACTTCACTGCACTCAGCATAAAACGCGAACAAGTCAATGCTTATATATGGTTCAGAAACTTGGTGCGTTACGTAAACCATTTGCAACAAACTACAGAAATTCACCATCAACAGCTGCCGTCTACGCTCACTCAGTACTGAAGATCCGATAGATGACCAGAAATAGCAAGCAACAAGGAGATTTGTCTGGCTAGCAACGAACCAACCAAGAACCCATCACCCAACAGATATGCAGAAGAAGAGAGTGGAGATGAACTGGGTTGTATATACACTGAGAAGACCATTCGAGGACATCACGCACCAGGCCAGGCCGTTGAGTGGAATCCAAAGGGGAAACGACGAAGTGGGGGTCCGAGGCAAGGGTGACATGGAGGAGATGGTGTGAGGAAGAAATGAAAGCTTGTGGGCATTCGTGGAGCCAGGTTGAAAAGACTGCATAGAAGGGAGTGCATTGGAGATGTGCTACTGAAGCCCTATGTTCCACTAGGAACCCAAAGGACAAATAACAATAAATAATAGATTCTCACTTAACTCTTCTGCTGATAATACACATAACTCTCAGACTCTAGGAGAGACATGTCATTTTATAAATTAGTTTGCACACTTTCCTTCGAATAGTCTTTAGTATAGGCCACGTTTGGGTTTACTATGAATCTCCAAACTTGAAGTTTCTTCCTCACCTAAGAACAACAAGATGTAAAGTTTTTATATCCAGTTATGTGTTTCTGAACTAATCAACTGTACTATGATTAAATTAACATATTTAATACTCGAGAATCATTCACATTACAATACAAATTAGAATTGTAAGCTTGAAAACGTAAATACAATTGTATATATCTGAAGACTGAAGGTTTTATGTTTGGTCTTTTTACATACTATACAACTGCAGTACTGAAAAGTTTCAGAAGAACATAGGAAAACATTGATGCATTGTCCTACAGTTTCCGTAGGTTGTTCAAATACTTTCCAAATCTCTATAGAGTTCATCTTATTCATTCATGCACATACTTAAAATCATTAATCAGAGATTTTAATTTACCCAATCTCACTATGACTGCAATACATAAAAGTTGGCTATGATACATCACGTACGAAAAATAGTTCACAGTGAAATTTCTTTAGATTTACCTCAGAGGGTAATAAAATGTTGTTAGAGTGAGTGCCAATGATGTTAATATAAGCATAAAACTTTGGGACTGTGGTAGAATTCGACTCCATATTACATTTATTTGATTTATAACACGCAATGATACAGTATTATTTTTGATGACATTTCGAGCATAGATTATTACTGCCCATAATCATATCAATGTAATTACACTACTTTCAACATTTGATTTTTATGGTTATATCACCTCGTATGATTTGTTCTTGTTGGTAGTAAAATTTTCCATATCTTTGGTATAGGTGTTGCATCATTCCAACTATATGTGTTAGGTGTTGATTCAATGAATAAAGATTCAGTAATCAATCTCTCTCTCCACCTAATTATATTGAATTCAAATACGATGGTTTTATCCCGCCATATTGTGTGATTATGTGTTAATGTATGCATTGTAACAACCGGGTATTCTTCTAGATTACTGATCTTATTCGGGTCTGTCATTCTATATTTAGCTAAATTCTTATGTTCGGCTATTTTAACTGACCCCAACCAGCTAGTTTGACGTATGTAATAGACCTCGCAGTTATTACATGAAATTTGATAGGTTAGATTACTTTGCTTAACTGGTTCAATCCGACCCATTTCACTTTGTATTCTGAAACATTATTGTTCAACTAAGCAGTCGTACTAGTTGGAATAACTAACATGATGAAGAGGGAATTGATTTACATCTCAAATTCATTATAACTTGTTGAAATACCAATCGTCTGAAGTGAAAATTAGGTTGAATTATCTGTAAATACTGTCAGTGGTTACTAAGTATACGTTCAACACATGTCTCAGTCACCTTGGCTAGTAAAGGTGAACAATTTAATTGATCAACTTCCATCCATTAGCAACAACTCTCCACATTACCTTGATATTACATACGTAATAATCTTATAAAATGACAAGTGTTTTAGCATTTAAAATTTGAGATTAGTTAGCTAAAAGACTCCATAACCAAAGGTGGATTTGTGGCTCGGGGGTTTAGGCAAATGAATATCAATTATTGGGTCATGGATTTAAGCCCCATCCTACCTACCGAGGTTTGGGCAGCCAAATAGCATCACTAGCCTTGACACAATAGGTATGGCTTATTGCCTACTGCACGGATGTGCACAAAGTGACTAAGTGAATTTCGTTTCGTATGCATAACCAAAGCT